CATGATGATGATGATGATGATGATGATGATGATGATGATGATGATGATGATGATGATGATGATGATGATGATGATGATGATGATGATGATGATAAAAATATCCGTGCAAGGGTAATCACTGTAGATCTAGGCAGATGTATCAGTGAAGAAATATTAATATTATTTGCCCTTTGTTTTCTTTCTGCGTTTTGAACCTAAAGTACAGTGCCCGTTGGTGGTTTTTGGCTGTTTGGATAGTATGCATTAATCATAGAGGCCTTTTTCCTAATAAAACAATCGACTTGTTCAGAGATGAATGAACGTCCTTCATTTAACAACAATCGATATTCAACTGACTCGAAGACCTGTCCATATTTAGCTGACCAGAACACTTACGGATATTCAATCGACAAGATCACCTGTCGACCCCATGCGTATTTCTTGCCTGTGTTTGGGGCCGCTATTTTCAGACATTTTCTCGTACGACCGATCTTTGTGGTATAGCTTACTGACGAACTTGGTCAACACGTGGCGGTTTTGAGTTTGAATTTTTCTCTTTTTCTTGAACGTTCACCCTCTCTATCTTACACCAAGAACGGAGACTAAGAACTCTGTTTAGTAATCAAAATAACCATAGGCATCGAAAAGTCTCAAGACGGAAAAACTCACTTCTTAAACACGCAAAAACAAATATGACTTTAATGCAATATATTTTTTAATGATAATTATCAGCCCTCGCAGTATCAATAGTGAAACCAAAAGGCGTCTGGTTGGTCGGAAGACTTTTCCTCCTAAGATGACATGATCGCAATCGTATAACTTTTTCCATTACCATCACAGCTTTCTCTGGACACATTTCAGGTTCACGAGTGACTCTGCTGTAAGCCAAAAGGGTCGCCATAGACAACAAGATGAATCACCGTGCGGTACTTCTCACATGTTTCCTCTGCCTGGCTTTGACTCAGAACGAGGTGGATTCCCAAAAGTTCGGGGATGTCCAAGCTGTTTATGAATGGACAACACTGGACTTGGACTGGCCATCAGAGGCGGTGAAGGAGGAGTTCATAAATAACGGCTCTTTTGCTGTAGACAAAAATGTCGTATCTGGAATAAAGGTGAGATAGATCTCATGCTCATCTTTAAAAAAGTTCTTGCTTAGTTGGTTTACAGGGTAGTCACTACTCTTATGCTTTAAAAAAACCTGCTTATAGGACAGTCACTAATCTTGTGCTTAAAATAATCCTGTAGTTATTACTAACAAAACTCCCCCCCGCCCCTCCCAAACATTAACAAAACAAAGAACAACAACACCAAACCATCTTAGCAAAGATATAATCAAAGACATCTTTAAAAAAGCAACAACAAAAAAAGAAAGCAAAATTCCGATTCGAGACTTTTTCCTTTTTATTACAAATTCTTTCATATTGACTAGAACATCTGAACATGAATTGAAAACTTTTTTTTTGGTGTGCACCACCCACCTTTATTAGCTTAGTGGGAATGGGTGAGGCATTTGGGTACATCTCATCCATGTTGTAGTAGACCTTTTCAAGCCGTAAGTCTGCTTATGTAGTTGCAGTACTACACACAATAATAATATGTTAAATTACAGGATGGGGCCAGCCTTTATAAGGAATGTCTCTAGTGAGATATCTCCCCCCCCCCTTGTCTAATACAGACTAACCTTTCCAAGTGGCGTCTTTGTAACTAACATGGATATGAGTTCTAACTGCTTTTTTTATTTTTAAACCAATTATTCACTACATATTTTTTTGTATCGTTTAAACCACATAACCTGCAGTTCTGCCGTAGATTGACATATCATCACACTCTTATAATCTCTTTGTTTTTCTCATTGGATTTTCATTTGAGTATATTAAATTAAGACTCCTCTGGAATCCCACCCCAGATATGTCACATTCTAAGAAAGAGGGGGAAAATGGAAATTCAAAATTCGAAAGCCCGCATCTCATTGCGAGTATTGCATTTATTCTTTTACCTTAAATAGCACAAGGTGCAGCTGGGTTATTCGGGGAATCATTTAATTTAGCGGAAAAGAAAGTTTGATTTTCAAAGAATGCTATACGAAAAAATCTTCTCTTTTTTACATTTCTTTAAAATTGTGACATATCTGGGTTTTTCTTCTAGAATTGCACTGAAAAATGTTTCATTATTGAATGTACCAGTGCTTCTAAAGTCAACAAATTGATAATTGGTGTCAGAAAGGCTGCTGTTGGACATTTCGAAGGAAAGAACAACAACAGTATACCCAAACTCAAGTACCAAATGTTGACAAGGATACTTAGATATGTTGAAGAGAAGCTATCGTCAACAAATCAGTCTTCGAAAAATGTTGAGACTCTAACTTTATTATCAAACAATATTGACGCTCACACTTGTGTGCAGAGAGGAGGAAAATCGCCCGAATTTGTTTGGGTTTTCGTGTTTTCAACAGGTTGCAACAGTCTTAGCTGCCTGTTCATGTTTTCTCAGGTGTACAAAAACGAAGTATATCTCAGCATACCAAGGTGGCTATCAACAACTGGGATTCCTGTGTCCTTAGTTAAGGTCGTAAAAGTTGGGAGCGAGGTCAAACTAAGGCCGTACCCAGATTGGGCCTCACAAACTGTCGGAGACTGCCAGGCCTTACAGTACGTACAGAGTATGGAAATAGACCCCAACAGCGGCCGAATGTACGTCATCGATGCTGGAAGAAATGGCCTGTTTGCAGCATTCGGGGCTCAGAACCTATGTCCAGCCAAAATTGTCGTCTACGACCTTCACACTGACCAGCGTGTGGCTAGTTACGATTTACCAGACGATGTTGTTAAAAGAGATAACAATTTCTTGAACGATATCGTGCTAGATTACGTGGACGGCCAAGTGAAATATGCATATATAACTGACGTCAATGCACAAAGTATTCACGTTTTTGACTTTGGAACAAAGCGAGCTTGGAGCCTGAAAGACGAAGCATCCATGAAAGCAGAACCGGATGGGGGCCTCATTGTGATTAACGAGAAGAACTACACTTTTGCTTTGGATGTAGATGGTATTGCTATGTCCTCTAACTTTGATTACGTGTATTACTCCTCCATAGGAGCTTACAGTCTTTACCAGGTACCAACATCAACACTGAGAAATGGAGGGACAGACGGAATCCGACTAGTGGGGAAGAAAGGTTCCCAATCGGATGGCATGGCGTTCAGCAGCAAACGTCTGTACTACGGCGCTCTGAGCAAAAACGCCGTGTATTACTGGGACATTGAGAAAGACATGAGGGATCAAAACAAGGACATTAGTCACGTGACTCTGAACACACAGACTCAGTTGGTGAAAGATGACTTGAAAATGCAATGGCCGGACACTTTTGCTATCGACGAGGAAGGATATCTGTGGTTCACTGCTGACCGTTTGCAGTTGCTCTTTACCAACACCATGAACTTTACAGGGCCAGAGATCAACATGAGAATCTATAAAGTTTTCATTAACGAAACCAGCTATCTTCACGAGGCAGAAAGTAAAACTGCTTCACTTCCTGTGGTTGGCTGATCACTAACGGTTTTTTTTTCGAACAAGGACAGACAACAGGGGAAAAGGCGAAGCCAGAGCGCGCAAAAAAATATTCGAAAACTACCGTGGTACCGAATCGGTCAGAGGAAAAACTGAAAAAGTATAAGCAAGCTTCTGTGGGCACAGGGGGCTTGTAGATGGCAGGATATTGAAATGAGACTAGCACGTCGACATGATCGCGCGGGTTTTATCGGGAAGAAATGTAAGAGAAACTGACAGACAAAAACAGCAGAGTGATGGTAAAGAACCCAAAGGAGAGTCACAGAGAATGGTGTACAATGACAGCTGGAAAGTGTTTGTTCGTGGCCTCATCCCTGATTCAGGATGAAAAAAGCAGTTATGATGATGACAGTAAAGAAGCAGAAAATACCTGTGTAGCCCTTTCATCACCAGTGAGGCTAAAACTGCTGAATAAACAGATTTTGGTGTTAATGACTAGAATAGTGGGCCTACACTAAACTAAACTACACTGCAACTCTCTACATCAGGGGTGTTAAACCTAAACATCTTCTCGAAGGCCGGATATAAATGCTCTTGTGGCCGGATGGTGCCCCACTGGCTTACCGTTTTACACGTGTGCTCTACATCACAATGTCCGCGGATTCAAGCACAAATAATATGAAGAGCAGTCTTCATAGTCAGTCATATTTGGAATGTACTGCTTGCCCATTTCGTTTTCGACGTAAATTGCCCAGAAAAACGTAGGCCAATCAGTTGTGGATCCATCCCACAGATGCATGTTTTCCCTCTTACCTTGAAATGATTCCAAAAAGAATAGTTTGTCTTTTGAAATTCTACTCATGCATGTATACATGAATAATATAACCCCCCCCACCCACACACACACATTATATAT